CAACAAAAATGTATTCCCCCGAGCGGATGGTGGAAAGGGCCCCAAAATATCCAATGCCACCAACTCGTTAATCCGAGACACCTGTATGGACTGCACTGGAGGAACATATGGGTGTTTAGGCGGCTTCCGCCGGGCACAGTCGGAGCACGCCCGAATGTGCCCAACGACATCAGTCATGCCGTGCCAGAAATAATCCCGCTGCAACGTCAACAAGGTTTTCTGCACCCCGAGATGTAACAACTTCTCAGAGTGCAGAGTCCGAATCAACTCATATCGCAACGATAACGGCACAACAAGACGCCAGCGATCGTGCAACCCTTCCCTCCACATCAACAAACCATCCCGGAGAGCAGCTCCCGGCATCTCATCGGACAGCGGTCCACCTTTCTCCTTCGCAGCCCGACCCCGCAAGGCCCCCAGCGACTCATCGAGCAATTGCTCGCGAACCCATACCGAACGCGGCAAGTTCAAAACCCCATCAGCCGGTTCCGGGCACGCGGGAGCCTCAGGCACCTGCACAGCAGACATAACAGGCCGAAGGGGTTGCGGAACCCGCGTACACCTATTCGTGCCCGAAGCGCAAGCGCAAGGGGACCCCTGCGGCAATCTGGAGAGTGCGTCCGCGTTCGCATGATGCGACCCTTTACGATACTGAATCTCAAACGAAAATTCCTGCAGGGTTTCCAACCATCGTGCCAATTGGCCAGACGGTTGGTCAACCCTCAGGGCATATTGCAAAGCCGCATGGTCCGTGCGCACAATAAACGTACCGCCGTGTAGATACGGCCAATATTGGCGAAGAAAATGCACAATAGCCAATAGTTCGCGGCGAGTAACGCAGTAGCGGGTCTCCGCCGGAGACAACATGCGGCTACCATAAGCTACCACGCGTTCGACGCCGCCCTTAGACTGGGACAAAACGGCCCCAATCCCGGTGTCACTAGCGTCAGTATCCAGAATAAAAGGCCGAGTAAAATCTGGATAATCCAACGTCGGTGCTGACGCCAAACGATCGCGTAGGCCTTGAAACGCCGCCTCCTCCGTCGGTCCCCAGCTGAACCTCCGGCCCTTCGCCGTAAGGAGGTGCAACGGCCTAGCGATCGTGGCAAAGTTTGGAACGAACCTGCGGTAATATGAAGCGAACCCAAAGAACCGACGCACGTCCCCCACCGTGGCCGGAGTCGGCCAGTTTCAGACGCACGCCATCTTCTCCGGGTCCGTGGCCACCCCGTCCGAACTGACTATGTGGCCCAAATAGCGCATGGATCGTTGCAACAGGTGACACTTTTTGGGCTTAAATTTCAAATTGGCAGAACGCATTTGAGCAAACACTGCGTCCAATCTCCGCAGATGTTCCTCAAACGTGCGGCTGAAGACGATAACATCATCTAAATATATCAAACACGTCTCCCACTGCAGACCCGTTAACACGAGCTCCATCAGCCGCTGGAACGTCGCGGGGGCGGCGTTCAAGCCCATGGGAAGACAATTAAACTGAAATAAGCCCTGCGGCATCCGGAAAGCCATCTTTTCCCTCGGACTCGTCGAGGGGAAGTTGCCAGAATCCCAACGAGAGATCAAGAGTAGAAAAAAAATTAGCCCCAGACAAGGAATCATCCATTCGCGGCAGGGGGTATGCGTCCGCAACTGACACCTTATTTAACTTGCGAAAATCGACACAAAATCGCAATTTCCCATCCTTTTTCTTCACAAGGACCACCGGGGCGCCCCACGGACTGTTAGACGGGGAAATAATGTCAGCGGCCAGCATATCTCCACTGCGCTGCGAACATGATCCCGCTCCGTCGGACTCAACCAATGCGGGTTCATCCGAATCGGAGCGGCATCCCCCGTATCAATGTGGTGGGAGAGCAAGGAGGTGCGTCCCAAATCGAAATCGTCCGAACTAAAGACGTCGGAATACCTTCCCAACAGCGCGCGAAGCGCGGACCGTTGGTCCCCAGTCAAGGACGCATTTTCCCGGCACAACTCGGCAATCCATCGATCATCCTGTGCCGTGGAGGCCGAGACCCCCCCTACAAGGCCCCGGCGGCCCCGATCGTCATGGGCCGTGAAAGCAGTTGTAGCATGAGCCAAAACCGTTCCGGCCAGCACAGTAACATTATCCGCGCTCCCATTCAACACCTGTAAAAACGGAGGCTGACCCGGCCGGACGATTGTCTGTGCCCCGACCAGCGTCAAGCCACCCGTTATAGCAGTGGACGGTGACAACAACACACCCGCCGCACCCTCGATTCCAGGCACTGGTTTCCGATAACGCAACGGAATAAACATCTGCGAGCCAGGTGGAATATCAACCGAAACCTCGGACAGCGCCTGCACCTGACGGTCAGGAGCGGACTGGCCCCAGGGTGACGGCAAGAAAGAAATTTTTCGACCCCCCGGTAATTCGATACAATTGTGATCCACCCTTATTTGAATGGGCATCTTCGCCAGGAAATCGGTCCCCAACAAACAGGGCACCGCGAGGGACCTGGAAATCAACACCGTCCCTGAAGCCGAAACACCCCCAACCGATATACTGGCGTCCACCTGACCCACAATGCCCATACTTCCTCCGTTCGCCGCTATGCAAGAGTTGTAAACCGGTCGCACCCGCTCCGGCGGAATGTAGATGGAATATCACGTCGGAGATAATGGTCGCGGACGCACCCGAGTCCACCAAAATGTGCACGTCAACCCCTTGGATAAAACCCGGCACAGTCGACGACCCAGTAGCGGCCGCAACCACCCTCCGTGCCAATTTCCGCCACTGCGTCAGCGAGCGACGCGGATCACTCAGCGCCCCCCCGTTAGTAATGCCACCCGGACCGCGTAGCGATGGTGATGCATGAGATGACAGGCCTTGCCGGGTGTCTGATTCGTGCCGACTTGCCTGTTGTGGTTGATCTTGCCGCGTCGCGTCCGTGACCGGGGCCTCCTGCTAGAGCGGCAGGCGCAAGCGAGCCCAACACTCCCTGGCGAAGTGCCCCCGACGGCCGCAGCAGAAGCACAACAAGCTGGCCCGTCGTGCAGCACCCCCTCTGTCCTGGCGCTCCCGCAACGGCAGCCCCGAGCGCAACCCCGCTCCCCCTCGAGCAGGCCACTGGGTCGATGCCGCCGTCAGCTCCTCAGGACCCTTCTCGTCACGAACATAGACGGTCTTCTTCGGGTCCCACCCTGTTGCACCGCCTTCGGTGGGGCTCCCCGTCCAAGCCGTCACCTGTTTCCACCGGCGAAGGTTGAATTGGGCATCCAGGCACTTAGCCGCCATCCGGGACGTTAACTTATCGTGGCCGCACACCGGCATAGGGATGCCCAAATCCCTGGATAACTCCAACATTTTACCCAGTATCAGGGGTTCCAATAAGTCGGGCTCCGCCTCCGGATACGCGGCCATAGCTAGCTCCATCACAGCGCCCCGGAATGCCACCGGCGATTCTTCAGGTGCCCGTTGCCGCTGCACGTACCTGCGATGTGCATCGTCCGGGGGCTCATACGCCTCCACCATTTCTTCAAACACCCCCTGTAGCGTCGTCTTCTTTGCGGCCTTGATGGAGTGGAAGAACCTGACTGACTCGTCGTCAAGAAGCGTTGGCAAGACCTCCAAGGCTTCTGCATCCGTCCATTTTGCAGATTGTACCGCCGCTTGAAAACGGCAGGCGAATGCACTCCAATCTCCGCCAATGGAGAACTCTTTCACAGTCGTTAGACGATGGCTGCGGGTCCCCACGCCGCCGTCATCCGCCGATGGTGATCCATGCGGCAGCAACAAGATGGCGTCACTCTGCAACATGTTCAAAATGGCGGCTCCTCGTCGTTCGTCCCCGACCACGCCCAAGATGGCGGCTTCCCGCGGTGGAGGCAGCAAGATGGCGGCTTCCCGCCGTTCCTCCCCGACCACGCCCAAGATGGCGGCTTCGTGCTGCGTGTTGGAGAGGGCTGGAAGCGTCGGCAAAGCCACACTCGGATGCTCCCCGCTTGGCCTCCCCGGACTTGTCGTGGGTGTCACCAGGGTGCATAACTGCGTTAAAACAGCCTTCAGCGACTCAAGTTGGGCCGCCACGTGTCGCCATCCCTCCTCGGCGCCCACCAACGCAGACGGTCCTGCTGAGCCGGTAACATCTTGCACTCCCGGCGCGTCGCCCGTCCCTGCGTTGCCCCCGCCTTCCATCGTCGGTAGCGCCACCGCCGGAGAAAGATCGTTGTTGTCTTCAGAAGATGGTGCAGAAGATCGTGCAGATATGTTCTTTTTTTCTGAGCTGTTTCGACATGCCGTCTCACTTCTGACTCCAATGTAATAAAGGACTCTTAGGCGATGTTGGTCTCCGTCTGTCCTTTATTGAGTTCTTGTCTCGCACCCCGCGATGTCCCGGTCGGACCCGCTCTCTCTGCAGCCACACCGCTGCCCGTGTGCCCCGCACACTCTGCAGCCACCCCGCTGCTCTGTGTGACTCCGCACACTCTGCAGCCACTCCAATGTTCCGTGTGCCCCGCACACTCTGCAGCCATTCTGCTGCTCCGTGTGCTCCCGCACACTCTGCAGCCACTCCGCTGCTCCACGTACACTGCTGGCCGACGGTGCCGTGACTCCGACCACGTGGCAATTCGTGCCACTCCTCCGCCAGCACCCCGCGTGGCTTCTATCTTCACTCTCTCTCGACTCCCGATCCCCTTCTGGTTCTCACCCTATATCCTCCTCCTCACGTGACCCTGACTCCTCCTCACATGACCCTGACTCCACCCCCACTCACCCTGACGACCAGGCTCCACCTCCCCTAATACTCCGGCCCGCGTGAGTGGTGCGGAGGCAGCGCCCACACTTTCCTTGCTCGCATTACAATTGTGTGCCTCAACAAGCCCGTGTGATGAATTGGGGAATCGTTTTCACTATATAATGAATAAGTATAGACGTGTAAGTCATGTGTGACTGTGTGTATGCATTCCTCTGTGCCTCGATACTCACGAAGATGGTGTGGATGTTTTTTTTCTGTCTGCAGCTGACGCCTCCTCTGACGCTTCTTCTGATGGAGCAAATGCACTCGGCTCAGCTCGGTGCAAAAGGGAAACAATGCGACCAGTATGCAAACACCACGGATCGTACTGGAAACTTGCCACAGCACCAGAGAACACACACAGGGGAGATGCCCTTCAAGTGCAGTGTGTGTGAGAAGGCATTTTCAGATTCATCTACTCTTAAACAACACCAGAGAACACACACAGGAGAGAAACCATTCAAGTGCAGTGTGTGTAAGAAGGCATTTGCACAGTTATCAAATCTTAAACAACACGATAGAACACACACAGGAGATAAACCTTTCAAGTGCACTGTGTGTGAGAAGGCATTTGCACAGTCATCATATCTTAAAATACACCAGAGAACACACACAGGAGAAAAACCCTTCAAGTGCAATGTGTGCGAGAAGGCATTTGCAGAGTCATCAAATCTTAAAATACACCAGAGAATACACACAGGAGATAAACCCTTCAAGTGCACTCTGTGCGGGAAGGCGTTTTCACAGTCACAACATCTTCATGCACACCGGAGAACACACAGGCATCAGAAGATCCCCAAGGAGTGTAGTCTGAGATCGACTTGTGAAAGTCAAATTACTGCAATGAGCCCATCCCTCCTGAAAAAAGAACCAGATGTAAATTCCACCTTGGACACTATGAAATGTATCAAGGTGAAATGGGAAGAGGCGAAGGTGAAATGTGAAGAGGTGACAGTGAAGAGCGAAGAAATGAAGGTGAAATGTCAAGATGAAGATTCAACTCCAAAATCGGACCTTCACATCGATGGAGGCAACGTGGAGCAGGAGGAGAATTCTTACTGTGAGGCAGTGCGAGGCAACTCCCAGCAGTTTGTGGAAGTGGAGGTGTGGGTGGACTTCTTAGACAATGAAAAGTCAAATGGAGACCCGGTAGATGTGTAATCTTGAGACAATGATGCTCCAATAGATTAACCTTTGTCACAGGCCTTTAATGAAAATAATGTGAAGTTGAACACTCAATTTTTAGGTTCATCCTGCAGAGTAAGAGCGGCCAGTATTTGCAGACCTGTGGGTTGGGTAGATCTCTAACCAGGTGCGAGAGCCAATAAGCTCCCAATCATTCACTATGTTATAATATTATAATTTATATGGTGCTTGCTTAATCGCCTCAGCAACTCGGCGTTTTGTATCATATTTCATCACAAACATTCGAGCATTTGGTATATATTCCTTTTCCCAAAAAATGTATTACGAGTGATTCTGCCAAATTTTGTATTATTAATTTTGATCGGGATGTAGCGCTGGGTCACGGAAAGGGTGAGTCCCCCTCCTGCCTCCTACCTTGCCACACAAAAGACAGCTGGAGGATCATTACTCACAAGCCTGCTTGTAAAGTCATAAAATGGAATAAAAAACAGCAAACCCAAGGGGGGGCTAATGAGATTATGCGGGAAATTCCCAGTTGACTTCAAGAGATGAGGCCGCCATAAAGGAAACAAGCCATAAATTAAACAATCCACACGGAAACAGCAGGGGTCATGAACATCCCCGGACAGAAAATCCACCCAGGGGCAGTTAATAATTATGAGCTGACTGTGGTTTTTAAAATACAACAGTAAAGTTGGAAGCTTAGCTATATCTTTAACGTCAGGATATCAAAATGTAACTTGAGAATAAGAAGCATGGATCCATGGCGATGCAGACGGGGAACAAAGGTTAATAAAACCCTTGGAATATCCTTGGTAACAAATATGGTATACCACAAATCTTGGTTAAGCATGAACCAAATAATAATTATTAAATTATTAGACCTAGGGTCATTCAGAAGAGATACAATGCGAAATATGTTAATCACACACGACCAAGATAATATGTTTTCCACGGGATCAGAGCCTCACCAACCACCCATTGTCTTCCAGTAGCTAACACAGCACATGGTAGCAGTAAATGATGTATGCAGGGGGCATATATAATTTACTGCTAACATATCAAATACCATGCAAGAATTCCAAACCGCGACGTGAGTGCTGTGAACGCTGCTCAAAATGTACTTTGAGTCGCTTACAGAGTCAAAACTGTGGAAAGTGGTACGGTACCAAGCTATAAGAGGTGTAAAACAAAATAAAAATTGTAACTTCCAACCCACGATGAGAGGATGTAAAACATGGCGACAGCAAGCACACCCATACACAATAGGTTACGACTTCAAAGGCCACAGCTCTCCTTTTTGTTAGAGGCTGCAAGTTGGAGGAAAAAACAATGTAACACAAGAACACAAATCAGTACTGCTCAAATAATCGCCCAACTGCGACTGGAGAAGTCCAAAACAAGCACATCACCAATGAATGCTCCATCCATGCACATCCTGGCAGTATCCTTGAAATCCAACCACATCATTGGACAGGATGAGGAACCTTTGGATTAATTTATGACGATCATTAAGAAAAAATTGAAACTGTTGCTTTTCACAATACCATACGAAAGACGAAGTATTGCGAGTGGCAGCCTCCGGGGATTGCTTTCGTGACTGGAAAATTGATAGGGAGCTCTGCATCGGCACAAGCAATGCTTCATGGAGAGTTTTTTTTGCGTCATTGAGAGAGGCTGCCAGCCAAGACTGGTACTCGCAGTATTAGAATACAAACGTGGGGAAGAGTGCTGTAGCATTACTATTCCCGGTGGCGAGGTCGCTGTGTACAGCCAACACATATGATCATAGCGACAATCATTCCGATTGTGCTCCGATCAAAGTCAACCCTTCAGGGGAAAACTGGTGCAACCACTATTCATGACAGTTCCCCTTTAAATCGCAACCCACAGGCGAAGTTTAGATGAGGGTCAGATCAGAGACTGACACGGAATGATATAACTTGATCTGCAGCGTGTCCTTTGAGCAGCATGAGTCGTACAGACAACTGGAAGAGGACTCTCTTGAAGAGGGGGGGGGGGGGGAGATGACAGGCGCTGTCTCTCTAAGTCGCTTCACAGTCTACAAGGATCAACAGTGTCTGGTGTCAAGGGGTGTGATGCGTGGTAACCAGCGGACGAGCTGCGAGCGGTGTCTTGAATCGGGATAATCGCACACATCGACGCAGACGGAGCCGAACCCATCATCCCTGCCAGCACGGGCATCACCGACAGCGTGGCCAGCATGCCGACTCGGCAACCACCCCAGCGGTGGAGAAAGACTGACAAAGCAGCCGAGAGCGCCGTGTGTTCGACACACACGCCGACCCCGCGCCCCTGCTGGAGACCTGAGGTGTTTTCGATACAAGGAACACTACCTTGAAAGCCGTTAACTCAACAGTTAGCAAGAAGACAACACACACCCACCCACAACGCGCATATTGGTACTAATAAGATTTTTCCAAAAAGTTATCTTTGTATTTTGAAAAGGGTTGCCATGCCAAGGTGGTGCGTTAACTATTAGCTGGTCGTGAAAAGCATTGTTCTGTCCTTTGAGTTACATTAATACGGTTGTTTAGAAGTATTTTGGTCATTCGTTTTCTTTAATTACATAAACTTACCAATGAATTCATTAATGAAACACTAAACATGTATAAGCATCTATGTTACGAATCTACACACTCGCAGGAATACTATTGTGTTGAGATTTTTATTTTGATCAGAATCTTGCCCGCGAATTCATTGATGTTCCATTAGCCAATTGATAAGCATATGTTAGCCAAACAGGCACACTTGCACGCACACTTGTTTCAGGACATTTCGTTAATTGCATAATCTTACCAATGAATTCATTGATGTCTACTTTTGCCATTGGGCACGTTTCTTTAGCATGTTTCGTATTAATATTGTAATATCTTTTTAAAGACTTTTCCTATCGCCGTGTATGGTCGCACTACTCTGAGGAGTTAGCCGATTGTTCTGTTACTCAGTTTTAACAAACGTAATCATTGAGGGTTGATTGTACGGATCAATGAGTAGGACATCTTCAGGAGTACATTGTTGACAATTCCGATCATAAGTGTGTTCGCATATTAGAGTGTTTTTAGAATTTAAAGTAGCTTAACATATAAGAGTCTTGAGTCCATGCATAATCTTAATTATAGGAACTGTATCCTGCAGTGAGATCTGAATTCTGAGACCCGACAGAATTACATTAAAACATAATCGGTAAAAGTTAATGCGAGAATCGTTGTATTGATTTTAAGTTTTCGTGACTGCAGGGATCCATACTCTTTGGTTCTTTCGGTAAAGTCACGTATATATAAAACAAAAGTAATTAAATCACGACTTTTCGGGCGCAACACAAGAGTCCGTCATCAGGTGGGACAACCACGGCACAAAACAACTGCTGAGGCAGGCAAAAGGGCTGCTTGTAACAAGGGGGCTATATAGTAAGAGAGGGGGGAAGGAGCCAGGGAGGAGGGCTGGAGAGGGTGGGGGTGTTGGGTAGGGAGAGAAGTGTGCCGCACACTAACAGTACGACAAAATGCCGGGCCTGGGAGGTAAGCGGTGCTGGGAGTAGGGAGGCTTAAAAAAACTGGAGATGCGGATATGAACGCAAACTATAAAGCAGTTTTACCTGGTTAATAATATCATTTCAGTGATTGCTGAATTTGTATCCATCTTCTTGGTTGAAGTTATGTTTATATATCTGGATGGCTTCATGAACAAACCTTTTATAGTAGCCTGACGGTTTGCAGAGTACCTTGGTCTCGGAGAAAACAATATCATGAGAGCCCACAGAGTTATAGCAATGGTCAGCCACGGCGGAGGAATTAGTTCTGCCGTGTTTCAGATCTGACTTGTGCTCGCGAACACGGTCTGAGACATGACGTTTCGTTTCCCCAATGTAACAGTCACCACAGGTGCAACTTAGTTTGTAGACTCCAGGATATTGCATGTCAGGAACGACATCCTTCACAGATGGGATTAGATCACGGATTTTGTGTACTGTACTGATTCGGACCTGGATCTTGTGTTTGTTTAAGATTTTGGAAATCTTTTTGGTCACGCCTGCTATGTATGGTAACGTGATGGCGTCTCAGGGGGTTGTTTCTCCATGGTTGATAATGCGGTCCGAATATCCATTCATCTTAAGGGCCTGGTGTACGTGTTCCAGTTCACTAGCTAGGTGGTGTTGGTCGGAAATGCAGTGTAGTGTTTTGATGAGGGACTTCTTCTGTGCCGGATGGTGGTGGGAATCAGGTTTCAGATAGGAATCTGTGTGGGTGGCTTTCATGTAGACAGGGTGTCCTAAAGAACCATCAGGTATCTTCTAAAAAAAAATCCAGGAATGGTAACTTACCATCCGTCTCCACTTCCATGGTGAATTTGATGGATGGGTGTATGGAATTAATGTGGTTGAGAAATTGGTTCAGTGCTGGACGGCCATGTGGCCAAATGACGAAAGTATCATCCACATATCTCTTTCACAAGGACGAAGGGTGGATGTCTGGATGGCATCTGTTTCAAATTTCTCCATGAAAACATTTGCTATCATTGGTGATAGGGGGGAACCCATGGGGGCACCTTCATTTTGTTTGTAGAAAGTACCATTCCAGGTGAAGTAAGTGTTGGTAAGGCAGTGCCTAACTCGAGTAGTAACATCAGGGTTCAGTCCATGTTGGACTAAATCTTCAATTATTGCTAAGGTGTCAGGTACACAGGAACCTTGAACAGAGAAACCACATCAAATCTGATGAGCAAATCATCTGGGGACAGTGAAATGCCCTTGATTAGAGAGACCAGGTGAGCTGAGTTATGTAGTGCTGAGGCAGTTTTGCCAGTCAGATCTGAAACACGGCAGAACTAATTCCTCTGCCGTGGCTGACCATTGCTATAACGCTGTGGGCTCTCATATTGTTTTCTCTGAGACCAAGGTACTCTGCAAACTGTCAGGTTACTATCAAAGGTTTGTTCATGAAGCCATCCACATATATAAACATAGACATAACTTCAACCGAGAAGATGGATGCAAATTGAGCAATAATTGGAAGGATGTTATTAACCAGGTAAAATCTTAACTGCTTTATAGTTTGCGTCAATATCCGCATCTCCAGTTTTATTTAGCCTCCCTACTCCCAGCCCTGCTTACTTTCCCAGCCCCAGCATTTTGTCGTACCGTCGGAGTATGCGGCACACTACTCTACCTACCCAACACCCCCACCCTCTCCAGTCCTCCTTTCTGGCTCCTCCCCCCCCCCCCTCTTACTATAGAGCCCCCTTGTTACAAGCAGCCCTTTTGCCCGCCTCAGCAGTTATTTCGTGCTGTGGTTGTCCCACCTGATGACGGACGCTTGTTGTATTGCGTCCGAAACGTCGTGATTTAATTTATTTTGTTTTATATCTACGTGACTTTACCGAAATAACCAAAGAGTAATCATTTTATTATGATTTGGAATAAACCCTATACAACGAAGCTGAGCCTTAATTTACATAATTACATACATTTGCATGTTTTCATAAATTAGCATAATTTAATAAAAAAATGTATTGCATTTTGTTTCATGACAATATATACAAGCACCCCCAAGTGGCAGCTGCCCCTGTGTGGCATAAGGTGGCCCAGCATCAGTCTGCATGTGGGCATGAGTCTGTAAGTCGGGGGCAATAACTGATGTGTAATCTCAGTTGTGTAATTTGTGGGTAATGTTTCGAATTTGCCAAATTTTAACAACGCCAGCATGCAATCGCCTCGTTTTGAATGACACAAGAGTATGTTTTACAATCAACTGTTAAGCAGACGGTGCATATTTGTAATTAATGTTCCAGGACTAACCAGGGATGCCTGTTGGATTTGAACCTCTGCAACAAAAAGAGAATGCACTACCACTTGGCTTCGCTCAATCTGAGTGCTGCAGGTGTAGGCCTCATCCAACAGAGATCAACTTCTTGTAAATACTATATGCCATTATGAAGTACATTTCAGTGTCAATATGCCTATCGCTAATTTAGAATTATAACTTAACGAATACTTGTCTGATTATGTGCGTACATGTAACATTTTGTCTGTAAGGGTCAAACATGGAATACGTGATTGTTAGGAGAAAGTGTGTGTTTTGGAAGTAACCGGTAAGATAACTCACGTGAGAGCTGTTGTTCTTGTGATATGGGTCAACTGGTATTTTTCGTGATTCTGGAAGCATCTGCCTCTGAAACAAGTCATTGTCTTTGAAATAAGGAACATTCGCATAATTCTTCAGTTACACGGCATACCACTTAAACGTTATGTATAGGAGATGCATTCTCCACAACATGAATTATAATTTAGTATAACGTGTTTATTTTATTTTGTCGAACTAAGGCTAGACATGCTCTTTGCTGATTAACATCTGATGTTCGTAACCATCGGTTGAAGCCAGCCTGACTGCTGCCCACAGGTGTCTTGCACTGAATCAATTATGCACTCCCAGAAGGCTGTGCTATTTATAGTTTGTGTGAAACATTCATTTGTTTCGTGAAGAGACCAATAAATGAAAGATGTCGTTTCTGCTGATCTGTTTCATAGCAAGCAGGTAATTTTAAGAGCACATTTGAAATGCATCACTGATTTTTGTTACCGATTTGTATTCTAGCCTAGGTTTTATTTAATTTAAATCTGTTTAAATAAAACTTAAATAATTGTCCATCGATATCCCACATTGCTTACCACATGTTTACTTAAATATGTAAAAGCCACCTCAAAATCACGAGTGGGTGATGTCAGCGCCTCTCTATCTGATTGTGACCTCACCAAGAACACTTGGCTCTTCCACGGGACGTGACGACTGTGCACTGAGTCTTGGAATTCATTTGCACGGCCATCAAATCTTGACCCACACCAGAGAACACGCACAGAATCAGGTGCACCGTGTGTGATAAGACGTTTGCATTATCAAATCTTCACAACCGCCAGGGAACACATTAAGAAACCCTATCAAGTACACTGGTTTGAAGGCCTTTGAAGTGTTTTGAAACCGAAACACGCGTAAGGACATTCACAAGGAGCAGAGTCTGCATTCGAGTTGTCAAATCAAAGTGCTACAATAAGCCCATCGCTTGTAATGCAAGAACCTTAAGACATTTCTATCTTGGATACAAGGCCAGGAGGAAACGTGGCATGAAGACTCCAGGGCTTGACCTCCAGGTCGTCGATGAAGGCAGCTGAAAGCAGGAGGAGAGGTTCCACTGAGGGAGTCCGGGACAATCACAGCCGAATGTGGATTTGGAGGTTTGGGTGGAATTTTTGATTAATGTGTAATATGAGGATGCACCCGGGGGGTAACTGGGCGATGGTGATAGGCTCTGCTGGCCTCAGCCCGCAGCCAATGGGACGTCGAGCCAGGGGCGTAGCCCCGTGGCTACATAGCAACATCTAGAAGGTTCCAGGGGTGAGGCTGATGATTGGCTGCGTGGTATCACGTGGGCCAGGTGTTATAAGGGTTGGAGAGAGACAGCTCGTGGTCAGTGTGGAGAGGGGTTGAAGAGAGACCACGTCTGTGCCTCCGGCACGCCAGCGGCCACGTGGCAGGCCGGAGGCTGTCTCCCACACGCCGTCAGCCAGCGGTGTGAGGGAGCGAGGAAGCGAGCGAACGCCACGCTCAAGTAACGGGAGTAACGGGAAAAAAGGAACCCAGCGTGTGAAGGAGCTGTGTAAACGGAGAACGAATAAAGACAAGACAAAGACATATCGTCCGGAGCGGATTTATTACAAATGTAGAGAAGGAGCAGCCAGTATATTTGACCATACGTGTTGCCTATAACCTGTAACCAGGAGCATGAAACACGGAAGCTCCATAGCATGCACTTTTGGATACTAATAATATATTTTTTTATTCATATGGCGCTTGCTTAATTGCCTCAGCAACTCAAAGTGGCTTGTATCATATATCATCTCAAACAGTTGACGGCCACTCCCATGGTGTAACTGTCCCTGTGCCGCACGAGTTGACTCGGCAGCGGTCTGTAAGTGGACGCTCGTCTGCCAGTAGGGGGCGATGATTGATCTCAGGTGGGTAGCTTTTGGATACTCAAATTTTATACATTTTAACAATTACATTCGCATGGAATGGCTTATTTATTTTGAATGGCATCGAATTATTTTTTACATCCACTTTGAAGCAGATGGTGCATATTTTTTCAGGTTAATGCAGCTGCAGTAATAACCAGAGCTGCTGCCCGCATTTGAATCTTGAACCCCTTGAAAGGGAGAGAACTGTGGAAATTAATGACCTGAAAAAACACTTCCAAACAGATCCTCAGTCATCATGTATTGTACCTTACTCAATTTTCAACCTGTCCTAAATAAACG